CACTAAAAATACCAATGTTTCGATACCTCAAGCAAGCGCGTAGCCGGAAATGGGCTGAAATACCGCAGAGCAACATTCGGGCGGCGTGTGACAGTTTCATTGGCGGTTTGAAGACCATAATTCGTAGCAAAGGTGACCAATTCGAACAAATCTAAACTTATTCTAAAATTTGATGCTATTTCCGACATTTTATGCTTTCATTCAATAAAATATAAAAAAAAATGTAAAAGTTATGGCGTTTGACTTTATTGCAGTTTTTTATCTCACCCTGTATGTCCTCAAGCATATGTGACTCCTCTTTTCAATCTATATAACAGATTGTACTGTGCCAATTTGAATTACAAATATTATTTACAATATATATGTCTTGAGAATACGTATTTTCTTAATCAGTTGTGTTCCCTTTTTACTGTGCTTTTGGTATGATTTATTGCAAATGAATTTGGTAGAACGTGCAAAATGCTTTATGTATATATATTTGTTCATTTTAAGATTTTAAAAATGTCATTGATTAACTGACACTGTCATAATAAATTGCATTTGAATAAATATGTACTATGAACATTTTTCCATCAAATTTCAAAAGTGTAAAAATAGATATTTTTGGACTCAATATTATATGTCTGCATATTTACGGCAATCAATTAAGACTACCCATGACATGCTTAAAACGATATTGCGGTTTTATATGTTCATTTCTCTAGAAATTTTATACAAGGAATTGTTTTTGTTTTTAAATTGAAAGAGAGAGTTTCTTTATTGTTCCATTTTTTTTTTTTTGTAAATAAAATGCAATATTTATTCTTAATATTTCATATCACTTTACCTGTTGATATGCAAAACAAAGGTGAATATCCAATATATTATTATTGTGTTAATTTGTAAGTATTCCACCACTCCTCCCTCTCTCAACTCTTTGTGTGTGTTATGTTAACACTTTTTTTGTCATTCACCATTGAATGCCCCTGAAGTTGTCAAAGTGTAGGTACTCGTTCATTCGTGTCTAAACATTTTACAAATGTTTCTATTAATTTATAATCCATTAAAAGCCTTAAATAAATAATCAAACTTCGCACATATGAACAGCAGATACGACAACGACACATGTTTGTACAATATACATACACATGTTCATACGAATGTATGAAAGTATGTAGCGATATGTCATAAATAAGTCAGGTGTCTTAATATTGCCGTAAAATATGAAAATGTTAATAAATTTAATTCGATACAGAAGAAATTGTCACAATGTCTAATCCGCTAAATTTGTTAGGTACATAAATAGAATTCCCAAACAGCGAAGCGGTCGAAAATTTGCATCACATGACGGAGGCGGTAATTTGTTTTTATCGCAAATTTTCCAGCAACATGTGAGTTTGTTTTTATTAGTGTTTTGATTAGGATTCATCACATTTGTTTATTTTAAGATTTGAACTACTATATAATTAAAAAAGGCAGGTCTTTACATATTAGAATGTTTTAAATATAATGGAAATAATCTCATTTATATTTATGACTTTATGATACCCTACACCACTTTGCTAATTTAGTAGAGCTCCACATAACAATAAAAAGCTTTTATGGGAGAATTCAATCATACACGCTATGATTATAATTATAATTTAAAGTTCAAAGGGCTAAATATGCCGAAGCATTTGTATCTTATAAATTCGGACTTGTATTGCCCATTTGATATATATGGGAGCTATAACCAAATCTGAACCGATCTTGATAAAATTTGGTAAAGATATTTCTGAGCTGTATTTCATATATTTCTCTGAATATCGTTGTTACGGACTGCATATTACGGCTGTGGGTAACAAATATAACAAATCGGATGAACAATACATATGGGAGCTATAGCTACATCTGAACCGATCTTCACCAAATTTGACATACCAACTTCTAGACTCGTAAGGTCGTAAGTGCCAAATTTCATCCCGTTTGGGCAAATATTAGACGTTTGGTGCACAATAAAAGGTAAATCGGACGAAGTTATATATGGGAGATATATCCAAATCCGAACCGATCTCGATGAAATTTGGCAAAGGTATTTCTGAGATGTGATTGATATATTTCCCAAATATTGTTGTTACAGAGAGCATATTACGGCTGCTGAACAATATATATTGGAGCTATAGCTATATCTGAACCGATTTTGATCAAATTTGGCATACTTATTTTCAGGCCTAATTTGGTTGTATGTGCAAAATTCCATACTATTCGGGCTGATATTACACGTTTGGGACACAATAAAAGGCTAATCGGATGAACATATATATGGGAGCTATATCTAAATTTTTACCGATTATCTCCAATTTCAATAGGTTTAGTCCTTGCGCCAAACAAATGATTTGTACAAAATTTCATCTGGATCGGATAAATGCGAACTGTACTTTGTTCACAAAAATACATGGACAGACGGACGGACATGCATAAATCGACTCAGAATGTGATTCTATGCAGATCATCCAAAAGGAACTATGGGTCTATCTCGTTTTCTTTTGCCTGTTACAAACAAATGCACAAAGACATAATACCCTGACCACCTTGTTGTGTAGGGTATAATGACTGATTGCCCCATCAGGAGAAACGGATAGTGCAAAATTTTAGCTTATGGTTAGATTTTGGTGGATAGGTAATTGGTAAGTGCGTGCTTTCCCGGACACAATTCTACACATTTAGTCACGCATGTAGGTCACTATTGATACGAGACATCAGCTAAGGTAATATTTTTGAATATTCGCAATAAAACTGTGTTTTTTTTTTTTGGACTAATATCTATATTGCTCACTATAAATTGATTAAGATATGTGATAAAATGTACTTTTGGAACTAGAATTCTGAAACTTAGAATTCTGTATCTGGCAATGCAAAAATTTTCTGCCAAAATCTTTTCTAAAAATCGTACATTCTTGATACTAAAAGCCACCAAAAAGTACTTAATTTGAAGAAAATGTTCTAGAAATCTTAAAAATATTATGGGATCTCTTCTGGTGTGAAACTGCATTATGTCTGAAAATTTAAACAAAACAGCACTAAAACAAATAAAAGTACTAAATACATAAATGTACTAAAATCAACATAAATTCTATGTCGATTTAGCGATGTCCGTCCGTCTGCGGAAACCGCTCTAGCCATCTAACGAAATGAAATAGTTTGATCAAATTTTACTCAATTTTGAAATGGGTCAAGTAGCATCACGTTTTGGTATAATTGTACCGCCAGATTTAAGGTGTTTTGATTGTTTAAGACACAATTCCTTGTACCAATTTTTAGATAAATTCGTGGGAAAATGTTGCAAATCATCAAAATACCGAATATCGAAAGGTACCGTTGTATTGTATATACATACAATGTTTCGCCACCGGAGCCAGAACCCATTATGAACCACAAATACCAATTTATAGGCAAATCCATGAAAAAATGTGACCGTTGCATGGGTCTATACAAAAACGTGGACCTTTACATACAATTTTTCACCAGAGGAGCTAGAACCCATTATGACTTACAAATACCAATTGTTAGACAAATCCGTGGAAAAATGTGGCAAAAATCAACAAAATACCGAATATCGAAAGGAACCGTAATATGAGGACTATACCAAAACATGGACCGATATATCTCATTTTCAATACCAACCATCCCCGGCACAATACAAATTGTTCAGCTAAATGTTGACGCTCTACGTCAAAAAATGGCTGTATCGTAATTTCATCGACTTAGAATTTTATGCTGTTTATGAATATATGGGATGAATATTTAGTGATGTTACAAACGGAATGACAAAGTTAATATACCCTATTTTCCAAGTTGGAGGGAATAGAGAAGAAGCTAAGTTCGGCCTGGACGAACTTTTAATACCCTTCACCATTTGGAATGAACTTGAAAATTTTCAAAAAAGAAAAAAACTTCCGAAAACTATCACTAAAATACGAAGACGTGGACCTGCACACGAAATTTTTTGATATAGGCTGTAGTACCCATTACGAACTTCAAATACCTAATTTGAAACAATTCCGGTGAAAAATGTCGCACAAATCATAAAAATACCGAGTATCGGTGGACCTGTATAAAAATATTTTTTTGTTATAGGCTGTATCACCCATTAGAAAATACCAAATATCGGGATGTACCGTAATATGGGGGCTATATGAAAACGTTTACCTACATGGCCCATTTACGAACATAACCTGCCTATTGGCAAAAAAAAACATGTGTGCAAAATTTTAGCCTTCTTTCTCAATTTGTTCGAAAAATAGCGTGATTTAAACACACAGACAGACGGCCATAGCTAGACTTACAATTTTACGCTGATCAAGAATATATATACTTTTTTGGGTCTGACATGAGTATTTCGAGGATTTACAAATGGAAGGACAAAGTGAATATACACTCCATATTATGGTGGAGGGTATAAAAAGAATTCGCAAAAACTGAAATCATTTTCTATCTCGAATGGCTCCATTTGCAGAACTTGAGTGCTAACAAACAACCAGTTACAAATATTGGCTGTTTACGAATATATTTCATTTATTTCATGTTCTCCACGAACTCCATGTTTATTTCAATGCACTTCTCCTTTGGAACATTTTTTTCATTCAAATTTACACGTTTACACATGTTTACACACTAACGCACTGTGTTTAAAGTCCCCATTGACCCGCTTTTAAAAGGTTGGCCCAGTTCGTAATTATATAACACAACAAAATTAAAAATATTTAATATTTTTTAATAATTTACTAGAATTTTGTTCATACGTTCAATCAATAGAATATAAATTTTCTCATTAAAATATGGTTTGCGAAGAACACTAAATTTTAGTTTACTTTACGAACCCATTAAATGTCACGTATCGTCAAGTGTTTTATAGTTTTCAGTATTGTTGTCAAATATAAATTAACCACTTGTTATTTCAATGTAAATTCAAATTTATCACTTTATGTGCAACGTTTTGTTTTTTAACGAAAATTGGAACTTTTCTATGGTCATTAATTTACCTTGGCAGCCTAATAAAACCGCTGCTAAAATGACAAAAACTTTTGGCAACATTTTGACGATGTTTTGTTTTCTCAAATATCTTAATTTTTGCTAAATTTAAAATTGGTTGTTATTTTTCTTGCTCTTAATTGTCGCGTCTAAACACTTTAAGGATATTCCATTAAAGGACGAACTCGTTATCTTTCGATCACTTTCTCATTAGAATTTTGAATTTAAACCGACCGCCATTTGTTTTCGTGCAAATCGAGATACCAATTTCGCCGTTTTACGCTTCTGTCGCTTGTCGCAGTGTCTAACGTACTGAACGGGAATGATCGTACAACGGTAGCATGAAAACGCTTTGCTTTATAGATTACCCCTCTTCTAGGTCTTCTTCTTCTTGTTCGTCTGATTCACAGGTACACATGTAGCGGTAATACGGTATCGCAAAATCGATAACAAATCACCAATTCGGTGAAAATTTACTTCAAATTCGCTGAATTGTGTTCATTAGCAAATATCGATTTTTCATAGGGGAGTTTTGTAGACGGGAGTTTTGTTTATTTTTCGCATTCGCTTTAACTTTAAATGAACGAAATCAAAAGTCAAAAGGTTGGCAATAAAGATGTGGCCGAGTAAAATGCGTTAACTCGTATTTAACAAGTCATTAGGCGCGGTAATAAAAAAGAATCGTCAAAACAAACGGGAAAGTTGAGAAAAGTACATATAAACATACTTAGTACATAGCTTTCCATGTGACAGATATATTTATTAACAGGTGCAAGGGCCAATTAAGATGTGGAAGTCCCAAGTCCCGTTTTTTGATAGACTTTTAATAAGGACTGATATAGTCATCACTGAGGAGTGGTTTTATAACCAAACAAGTTAAAAAGTATGATTCTTTGTTCCCGCCAGATGCATACATTAAGTTTAGTTTACATATACAGGGTGAGATGAAAAAACTGCAACCAATGTCAGACTGCTTTCATTTCTAAGACAATCGTCCGACAGTTTTTAAAATTATTCCAGTGACAGCTCATTATATTGTTTACAAGCGTACAAAAGCATTTTGGTGAGAATTTTCCAGAAAAAAAAAATTATTCGTGATGGAATTCAAGCGTGATAGTGTGATTTCTTAAAGCACAAGTGGCTATCGTTAGAGTACTCCAGCATTTAAATGTGAATAAATCTTTTATGTCTCGTACCATCGCTTGTTACTGTGATACTGGTAGCATAGCCCGACGTCAAGGAAGTGGACGGAAGAAAACAGCAACATCAGCAGAAATGGTTCGAAAAGTAAAGAAGCGACTTGATCGAAACCCGCGTCGGCTTGATCGAAAAATGGTTCATGAGCTAAACACATCGCAATATTCCATTCGGCAAATATTGAAAAATGAGCTCGGGGTAAAGCCATTGAAATTCCAAAACGTGCAAGAACTTACACCGCAACACAAAGAAAATAGACTCAAAAGAGCTAAAGAGTTGCTTCGCTTGGCCAAAAGTGGTGAACTGTCGAATTTGGGTTTCTCCGATGAGAAAACATTCGTTGTCCAGCAGTTTGTAAACAAACAAAATGATGGTGTTTACTTGCTAAGGAGGTCAGCTTAAAATGTGCACCTTCGGTTGACCACTAGAACTGAAGCGCCGCCCATGGTGATGGTGTGGGCCGCCATAACAGCCGATGGTCGCTCTCCGCTTGTATTAATCGACCGTGGCATCAGAATAAATGCCAAATATTATCGCGAAAATATTCAGGTGGATGTATTAAAACCTTGGGCACGCAAACATTTTGGCTGCAGACCTTGGACATTCCAACAGGACCAAGCACGTGCCACCCAAGAATGGTTACAAAATGAGGTTCCTCGCTTCATTTCCAGCGCACAAAGGCCACCAAAATCTCCGGATACGAATCCGTTGGACTATTGTGTCTGGAGTATTTTGGAAAGCAAGGTTGGCACTAAAAATGCTAAAGTGTAGATCACTTCAAGCAAGCACTTCGCAGGGAATTGGCCAAAATACCACAGAGCAACATTCGGGTAGCGTGTGATGGTTTCATTGGCCGTTTGAAGGCCATTGGAACAAATCTTAACTTATTCTAAAATTTGATGGTATTTCCGACTTCTTTTTACTTTCATTCAATAAAATTACCGACCAGGTGATACCCTACAACACTACAATATGTTGGAAGCCCCCTAATGCCCAAATGAATTTTGGAAGATTTCGATATTGAAATAATTTCATAGAGGCCTGCCCAGATTTTACCCTTACTTACGCACACCGCCGTGTTGTTATGTATTCGAAAAAAATCACAAAAGCCATGGTCCATTTTACAGCTAAGTATAATCCAATAGTCATACAATATGCTCGACTTCTTACCTCTTTCAGGAAAATGTTTTTTTTTTTGTTTTGGTACTCTGTGAGGATCGGATGATAATTGCAACCTGTATATAATACCTTCAGAAAAACTTTAAAAATTTACAATTCAAAATTGTAAGTCAAATTGAAAAAATCGCATGCGATAAAAAAATGTGACAAAAATTTAAAAAATGTAACAAAAAATATTCACTTTTTTATTGGCATATTTTTACGCCATTTTCTTTTATGTTATCCTTTTCTGGAAAGAGACCATTCCGAATTGATGAGAATTGTGAAAAGCAGTCCAGCGGTTCTTGACTTATAAGCGATCTAACTAACATTCCCTTCTTTGATATATGAGATTGTATATATTTTGCTATATATGCGAGATTTTGGATATGAACATCAATGTAACGGTCAGAAGTGACATTTTCGTGTGTTTGTGATTTCGCCAGGATAAAAAATATTCGCGGTTTAGTGGAAAACTTCATATTTTTTACAAAAAAGCTATGGTCTATTTTACACGCTAAATGTGGTCCTATGACCATCCAAACGCTTCTGCCCAGTCCTAAACTCTAATTCCATGCTAAATTCCGTGCCGATTGGTCTATAATTGTGGCTTGTAGAGCAACTGCAAAATCAATTATTTTTTCTGTTTTTGGTACATTTCAACCGCTAAATATTTTGTATTATTTTTTCCTTTGTTCTACCATTACGGGTGCATTGTTACCTACTTACGCCAAGTGCTATCTAAGATGTAGGCAACTCTCTAGTCTCACTTGTATTCCGAAATTTTCTCGACCTGCTTAAATTCTCACATTCTAACTGCATATCTCGATGGTCTCATGACGTTGTTGTTTCTTTGAACAAGTATTTAGTTCAATTTAACACTTAAATAAATGATATATCTTAATTAGGTCTACGTTTTCGTTGCTTCCAGAGTTCTGAGCTCTGTGCAAATAGAAAGAAGCGGAACACATGATGGAATGATAATTTAGCAACACCGTCGCAACGCTTGTTGGTCGTGGTGTATATTTTTGTTGAATCCCATTAAACAAACCTAAGCTCTGCTAATAAATAAATAAATATTTTGATTGTACATACAAACAAATACTTGTATATACATACATAGTATTGTTGCTGATGATGATGTCTTTGCACTTATTTAGCATTCGCAATCACAACTCCAACAAATGTTGCTGCTCATAATGAAGTGCTAATGAGAATCTAGGAATTTGTCGAAGAATAAATTGTTTCGGTTGCGGTCTGATGGTAAATTTTTTGCTAGTTCTTATATGATGTATATAAATACGATACGAAAGAGAGTGCGAAAGAAAAACACCGTCCTAAATGGGGTTTTCAATTTTTAATTTTTGGAGTTCAATCAAACGGCCATTGCGACACAAGAGTGCACTCAATTTTCGAAATTAAAAGTTGACATAGACATAGATTTGCTCTCACAATCTAAAATTGTATAATAATTGCTTTTGTTTCAACTAAATTATAAATGTTAATTGTATATGAGATGATATGTTTATATTATACATATTTGTCACACCTACATACCTACAATTGGAGGGAGCCTAAGTAATATCGCATTTTATCACTGCGGCAATAAACTGACACTTGATAACCCCACACGAGATAAAATTTATAATGTGTAAATCGCGAGACCATAGCTGTTATTGTTTTCAATTATAGGTGGTATTTTTATACACTACAGGGTGAGATAAAAAAACTGAAACCAACTTCAGACTGCTGTATTTTCTAAGCCACTCGTCCGACAGATGTTAAAAGAATAAATGCCGAATATTATCGCGAAATACACTCGTGTATTTTGACAGCAGTCAGATTAAATGGACCATGCCGGTACACATTTTCGTATAGCCTCCATATAACGGTTCCTCCCAATATTCCGTATTTTGATCATTTTAGTGACATTAATCACCGGAATGGTTTCAAATTTCGTTTTTGAAGTTCGGAATCGGTACTACAGCCTATGGCAGAAAATTAGTATTCGTATAGCTCCCAAATAACGGTTTTAATTTAAGCTGTATTTTGCGATGGATATTTTCTTCAAAATTTTTAGTTCCTTTCAAAAGGTGGAGGGTTTTTAAAGTTCGGCGCAGCCGACCTTACCTGCATTTTTATACCCTCCACCACACTACAAAGTATATATTCTGGATCAGCGTAAAATTCTAAGATGATCTAGCGATGTCCGTCTGACTGTCTGTCTGTTAGTCGATGAGCGAGTGAAAAAATGTTCAGTTTAATTGATTTTTTTATAGAAGGAACTAGCTGGTATTAGTGTTTCATGCATATTTTTAGGAGCCTAACATAAGTTGTAAGCGTTTAGCATTTCTTTTTAAAGAAACCTAAATTTTGATAAAGTTTTTGGCTTACATTCAATCTACAAATTTGACGGGGTTTTATTGATGCTTTCCTTGTATTGTATGTTATTGTTGTATTCCTTGCAACACACTTAATTAAGGACCACAATACACTTATATATACCTAGCTGATCCCGGTGCGTTCCGCTACTCCCTTCGCTTTTATATGCATTCAAAATTTTGTATATGAATATTTGTTGTTTAAAGAAAATAAATAAAACAAATTCAAAAATAAAAAACCAGTAAAGAAAGTCCTAAAGTCGGGCGGGGCCGACTTTATGATACCCTACACCACTTTGCTAATTAAGTAGAGCTCCACGTAACAATTAAAAGTTTTTAGTGGAGAATTCAATCATACACGCTATGATTATAATTATAATTTAAAGTTCAAAGAACTAAATATGACGAAGCATTTGTATGTTTTAAATTCGGACTTGTATTGCCCATTTGGTGCAAAATTAATTTAAAATCAGATAAAGATATATATGGGAGCTATATCCAAATCTGAACCGATCTCGAAAAAAATTTTCAAATATATTTCTGAGCTGTATATGATATATTTCCTGAAATATCGTTGTTACGGAGTGCATATTACGGCTGT